AAAGCTTCTTACATGAACATGGAAGATCCAATTGAGATGAAACCAAAAGGTTTATTTAAGGGACATCCTAAGTTTTCCAAAAAGTCCAAGAACACCCTCTTAGGGTCAAAACTAAAGGAGATATGCATTGTCAAAGTTGGTCATTTTTGGAAATTTGCACAAAGTCAACAATGCCCAAAATTGCATTTTTTTCCAAATGGACCCAACTTTTCAAGATTGAATCTCATTACTAACATGGTCCACGACCCATAAACCATTCCATGCCTTATTTATTTACCTATTTATTTAATTTAGTTTGATTTTATTTATTTAAAATTCAAATAAAATCAAATAAAATCAAATAAAATCAAAATAAATAAAATAAATGGGATGAGATTTGTTTTGCATTGAATTAGAGATCATGCTTGCTGTCATAAAGCCAAACAAAATCGTGCAAAATCAAAAACAAGAGGAAATCTCCTAGTTTGGAAAGTTTGGAAACAATTTTCAAAAGTCATCAAATCTTGGATTTTTTCTAAACTTAGCACCTTAATTTGATTCACATACTTATACACAAGCATTCTCAATCCTAAGGACAAGAATTCAGACGCGCAACCTGCCTCAAGGAGTCAAACAAAGTTCCAAATTTTCAAAGAATAGTGCATATCAGATCTTTCTCTACATGCAAATTCAAGGAGTTTTGGAGCATCTGTGATCATCCACTAAGGTCCTTGAAGCTTTTCCAGTCGCCATCCAAGCTCTCAGCCTTATGAATCTCCAGATATAAATCACGGTTTGTACCCTTGTAACTTAAATTTGTTTTCTTGGTTTTACATGTTTTAAATCGAATTTGATTGCACAAACGTGTTTATAATCATGCTTGGAATTTGTTTGAAGGCCTGGATTTAAGTTTTAGCGCAGGAACGAGCTTACACCATTGTTAGGGTTTGTAAGCTTAAAATTGGGGCTTCTTTTTCCAAGGTAAATTGAAGGAGATTATGGGTACTACTGGACTCGGGACAAAATTACTGATTGATCCCTAGCATTAGTTTTGATTTATATTGCTTGTATCATATTTTTGAATAACGCAGGGTTTTAGCTACGAACAAAATCCCTCACTATAGTCTATAGTGACGGAAAACTGTTGTAGGTAAAAGTTCCCCACCTAGAACGACAGATCCATGAAGAAGGTGGCAGCGTGGTGCTCACTGATTCGTCCATTCAAATTGTTGGGGACCCACAACGTGCGCGTTTTTGACATGTGTCCATAGATCTTTGTTTGCCTTATGTTATTTTTTATTTATTTATGTACATGAATGACAAGTAGCACAGATGGTAAAAGGAAGCGCTGGTGAGAAAAGGGACCTGGGTTCGATCCCAAGTCCAGGCATCTTGTTATTTTATTTTCCTAACATGCTTTGCAGGATCCCATGTGCCTCACCTTCACAAGACCATCACGCGTCCTCAGATCCAACCATGGGATTATCTCAGATCCAGATCCAGCGCCCAACAATTTATCCCATGCTGGACCATCAGAGGCAGGCTTCACTGAATCGCGCGCCGGACAACTAGACCAACACAACTTGGGCCTAACAATTCAACTTCACACCCCCAAATTACTAACAACAACAGTAGGCCCATTTTTTAAACTCTTTTGATTTTTTCTTATTTTATTTTTATTATTTAGTTTAATGACTTTTTAATCATTTTTTATTATTTATAAAAAAATCATAAAATCAAAAAATCACAAAAATATAATTAGGTTTTTTTTATAATTAAAATTAATTTTTGAAAATTAATTATTTTAATTATTTCAACATTAACTAATTTGTTAAATAAAATTAATTAGAAAATTAGGTTTAACTTACAAATTTCAACTATTTTTCTCAATAAAAAAATACAAAAATATTTTTAATTAATTAGACTTTTTAGGCTTCTAATTTGTTCTTGTCTTAACTTTCGCGCGTTTATTTATTTTCACTTTATTTTTCAATTGTTGTAATTGCTCCGAGTTTGTAATAGCTTTTAACTTAGGTTTATTATTGTTTTCATTTATTGTTTCAATTCCCCAAGTTTGGTTATGTAACCCCCTCCCCAAAGCCTTGTAATAACTAAGTTTAAAATTCTCGCACTCTATTCTCGGAAAGATCTTTAAGACTCTAGTGTAATTACTAAGGTTTCCTAACCATTGCTTTAGTGATCGTAATTGTCCCTTCGAATGTCTCTTTAAATCCAACGATGTGGTTATCTACTCCTTAATAGTAGGATAGCGATGTCTAAAGGAAACGAGAAAACGAACAGTTTTTTTTGAGTAGGTAGAAACTCTTAAGTACTTGCTCAAAACAACAAAAACTCTTTCACACAAACACTTTAAAAACAGTTTTCAAAAAACAACTTTGTCACACTCTTGAGGAAAGATACAAGGGTTACCACGAAGTTAAACAAAAACTTTTCAAAACACACACAAGCAATTTCAAAATGAGCAAGTACCTAAGAGCCCATGGAAAACCACAGATAGAAAGGATGCTAACACCTTCCCTTTCTATAATCTACCCCCCGTACTCAGAAACATCTCGAAAAAGGTTTTTTCTGTTCTTTTCCCTTTTCCTTTGTTGGATGAAATAAAAGTCGGTGGCGACTCTTGCTTACCGCAACATTTGCTAACAAAAAATGCAAACCAGTATTAAACAGTCGATTCTGCCACCGTATCACAGATGGTTCTTCTCCTTAGCTTTTATCTTATGCTTTATGATAGTCCCTTCATCTCTTCCCATCTTCTTTAATTTCAAAAATCATCTCTCTCCTTTTGAAAACTCTTCTTGTTTCTAAACTTGAACCACTTTCATAATAAACTTGGACTTTGGTCCATGCATTTTCAAAACATTTTCATAAAAAAACTTTAATCAACTTAACAATATATTGACATTTTTGTGAGAAGACTAAAAGCCAACCAACCTCATTCAAATCATTTTGCCACTTTGGCTTTTTACCTTAAAAATTTTCTCAAAAGATTAGACTCTTATCAATCCTTGTAGTGATGCACACAACTATACTTCTACAATATATAGTGAAGTGAGATATTTTCTACTTGGGTGTTGAGTGAGACATTGTTGATTTTAAAATCCAAGTCATATCCTCCACTTTGAGATGATGCAAATTCTCCTTTCTCGTGATTGTGGGTAGTAGGTATATTTTCCACACGGACAATTATGAGATGTCTTATCTCATAAAATTAACCAACACACTTCTGTTTTAAAACTTTTAAATAGGAACTATATGTACCCTGATCCCCTATTGCACGGAAGGTGGTACATAGGCACTAAAGGGTCGCAACCGCGGAGGGTGCAAAAATCATAAAAAAATATTTCTTTTCTCATCTCCACCATCTATTTTTATACAACATTTTATAGCCAAAATATACAGATTTTTACAAAGAGGTTCCTACGGAGTACCGTAGATGTTTAGGATGTTAATACCTTCCCTTTGCATAACCAACCCCCTTACCTTGAATCTTTCCCCCTCTTTTTGGGTTATTCTCTCTTTTTTCATTCCTTTGGAAATAATAAAGCGCGGTGGCGATTTTTATTTTGATCCGTACAAGTCAGGTCAATCCAATGACTTAGTCTTAAATATTTCTACCGCTATAGTTCACATATTACTTTGTAGAATATGGAGAACGATCCAAAATGGGCTTATACGAGAGCTCTTGTTTTCACCGGTGAAAACTATAGCTATTGGAAATATTGTATGCGTGTGCATATTAACTTTGTTAATAGAAAGATATGGAAAGTTATCGAGGATGGTCCTATGCAAATAACCATGACTAATGAGGATAACATCACCATACCCAAACCAGAAGCACTATGAGATGAAGAAGACGAGAAAAAAGTATAGCTATGATTGGAAAGGTAGAAATATGCTTATTGCTTCTTTAGGTGTTGATGAATATTTTAGAGTGTCACATTGTGCTACTGCTAAAGCAATGTGAGATGCTCTACAAATTTCCCATGAGGGGACAAATGATGTTAAACTTGCTAGAATCAATACATTGACTCAAGAGTTTGATCTCCTTCACATGAAGTATGGTGAAACCATTGCTGATATGCAAAAGAAATTTTCTCATATAATCAATCACTTACACACTCTTGGTCATGTTACTCCCAATATTGTTGCTACTAACAAAATTTTAAGATGTCTTAATAGGGAAAGACAACCTAAAGTTACAGCAATCAAGGAAGCCAACAATCTAGCCACACTCGACATAACAATTTTCTTTTGAAAGCTTCAAGAGCATGAGCAAGAGCTCATAAATCTCAATAAGGACCCCAAAGATTCAGCATAAACTTCTGCTTAATATAAGGACCCCAAAGATATGTTTCCTAAAATGTATCAACATTTTATTAAACTAAATAGCTTTCTATCTGTAGATAAACTCTCTTTATTCTTGAATCTGAAACGACACGCATAGAATCCTAATATTAACCAAAAAAATATCGGATGACTTAAATAAATGCCATCCATAAGACTAGAGAATTAACATGTGTAACTTGGTTTATATCACCATCATTATCAATATTTCTTCTCATTCAATTTCATGTTTTTTATATTATTATATTGCAATGCCAAGTTTATGTTGCTGTTATTATCATCTTGTATCATGTCATGATGCAAATTATATGTCGTCATCATCTTGTATCATGCCATGAAACCAATTATATCATTATATTTGGGAAAGTTGCAATGATTCTATAAACTGCATAGTATTAAATTAAATAGGATTTGATTGTTACCATGTAGGTGGAGAAGATGTAATTAAAGTCTATTTTTTTTAATTAAAAAATCGATGGAAGAATAGTCAAAACAATAGTTGAAATATTGATTAAATAATTTTTTATCTACAAAATTTAAATATTTTAAATTTAATCTCTATTAAAATGAAACTAATTGGTCGGGTCTTTAGAAAAACCTTTAAATTATATTTCTTTTCTTAAGTATTTATAATTTTCTAATACATTGCAGCTATGTCTATCAAGGAGGAGAATCTTATATCAAAATCTGAAAAATTAGGAAAAGCAAAGTGGAATAATCCATTTGATACCAAAACACTACTTAACATTTGTAAAGATGAGATTCGAAAATGTAGAAAACCAGAAATTGCTTTTAGGAATAAAAAATGGGAAGAGATGCGTGAAGCTTTCAATAAAGGTACTAAAAAAAATTATACCCAAAACAATTGGAAAATAGAATGGATAATTTGAGAGTTGATTGGACTACCTAAAAATAATAGTTAGTAAAGAAACAGATTTGGGATGGAATCCTCAAAAAGGAAATATTGAAGCTAACCCTGCATGGTGGGATGCTAAAATAAGAGTGAGCATTAAAAAAGAAAGGCTTCACTAGATATGGGTGAGAAAGTGACAAAGGATAAGACAAAGGTTGGAACTGCATCAACTATGAGAAATACATTAGAGAGATTAGTTCAAGCAGGTGAAGGTCATGATGAAATTGAAAAGGCTGAAAATACAGTCATGTTTCATGTTCATGAACAATACTCAATTCTCGATTGTGTTAAAATATTGAAAAGTGTTAAAGAGGAAGGGTTTTTGGATGGGCAACAATTTAGCTATGCTTTAGAGATGCTTAAAGATGAGAATAACATAATTCTATTAATGTCCTTAAAATATTCTACAAGTGCTTTAGTAGAGTGGATTATATAAAGGTATGAGTGAGGCAAGTATGAGCGACGAAAAACTATCTAATATTTTAAGATTTAAATTTTTATTTCTATTTCATATGTCTTCTAATCAAATTAAAGAACATTCAAAAAAAAGTTAAAAAAATAAAATGTGGGTTTTATAAAATTTGTTATGTTGCATCAACAATTGCTTGTGATTATTATATGAAGTACTTAATGAAGTAGGGTAATAGATTTCTTTACTCTCATGGATAGCCTTGGGTTCGAGAAACTCTTAACACACCAGGTGAAAGTTATAACATGTTTAGGATGGAAACTCATACCCTATTGAAACATGAAAAATTATTGGTGAGTAAAAGTTGGTTACATCCATCTAAAGAAATGACATCATTGGAAGTACTTGCTATGTTTCTTTGGAGTTGCGCACATAGTGAAACTAATCGAAATATTCAAAATAAATTTGGAAAATCAGGAGAGACTATAAGTAGAAAGTTTGGGGAAGTTTTGGATAATTTATGTTTATTAGCAAAGGAAATTGTAAGGCTTCCGGATTTTAAATTTACTGAAATTTCATCCAAAATAAAAAATGATCGTAGGTATTGACCTCATTTTGAAGGATGCATTGGTGCCATCAATGGAACATATGGCCTTGCCATTGTTCCCACTAAAGATCAACTTCATTATATTGGTAGAAAGGGATATCCAGCACAAAATATCATGTTAGTGTGCAATTTAAATATGTTATTCACTTTTGTTGTTGTGGGTTGGCCTGGTACTGCACATGACACTCGTATTCTTTCTTGCGTGATCGAAGAAATAAAAAATGTGTTCCCTCATCCTCTCAAAGGTATCTATAAATTCGTTATACGATAAATTTCAACACACACGCGTGCATAATAAATTTTTATATAACATAACAATGAAATTTTTATAATTATTTGTAAAATATTATCTAGTTGATGTTGGATATCCAAACATACAATGATATCTATCACCATTCAAAGGTGAAAGATATAATATTCTTGATTTCAGAGATGGGAGTCAAGTAGACGGAATGCACGAAGTATTCAACCATGCACATTATTCATTGAGAAATGTCATTGAAAGAACAATTGGAGTTTGGAAGAAACGTTTGCAAATATTATGTGATACGAGACCATTTTCATCAATCAAACAACAGAAGATCATAGTTGTAACAATAACACTCCATAACTTTATTTGAATATACGGTGTTGAAGATGAAGAATTTTATAAATAAGATGATATCTCCGAATATATCACTGGTCGAGAATAAGAAATAAATATAAATGAAGATGTAGATTTATATAATTCAGAAAGAGTAGAAGATGAAGGTTACATGAATAAAGTTAGAAATGAAATAGGTCATGCTTTGATAGAAAGTAGAAATGTATGGTTTTTTTTTATGATTTATGTTTTTAGTCTTGTATTATTTATTAACTCTTTTGATATTATTTATTATGATATTATTTAAGTCTCTTAAAATTATTTTTCTTCATAAAATATTTAAAAAAATACTTTTATGTTTTCATGGTATAACAAATAATTTTTTTTAGTAAATAAAGTTTTTTAAAGCATTTTGATATATTTAAAACATTTTTTATTTTTTATTCTATTCATAATAATAATTTTGTTAAATTTTTATAGAAACACTTTACCAAACAAATTTTACCTTAAAAGTGGCTTTAAAAATATAAAAAACAAAAACTACCAAACAACTTTAACTTTATTTCTAAAGCTCTTATTTATAATTCTTTTCTAAAAGTTACTTTTAGAACATAAAAAAGTCGGGCCAAACGGAACCTAACTATCACTGTTGTAAACTACAAAGATAAACTACCAATGTCTTCTTGAGTCTATAGACTAACACCTAGTAACTCAAGGAACAATTCTCAAAGACAATTTGTCAATGACTTATTGAGTATACAGACTATCATTTAGTCACTCAAGGAATAATTAACTCACTGCTAAATACAAGGTTTTTTTTTTGTTTTTAAGATTTCTTCTTGCAAGAAGATTACACAATGTTTAAGTACAAGTGATAACTCAACAATGTTAAGTAAGTTAATGAACAAAAGTTCCTTGCTAGTAAGTTAACGGGCAACTAGCTTTACAAAAATTACAAAGTTATTTTGGTAGCATTTTAGAAACATGAATCAGTGTGAGTTCATTCAAAGTTCTTAAACATTTCCAATTCTTCCAAGTCTCCCTTTTATAGCTGAAAAAATATGTTGGAGGGTAGAATAGGAACACCAAAATTCCAGTTGTCTACTTACAACGGTAAGTGAGAGAGTGATAGACAACCTAGTACAAAAGTATTTCCCTTGCACCACAAAACCAGCATAGTGGAAGCGAGGTATTGTTGTCCCTTGTACTATTACTCTCGGGAAACCTTTTGATCTTCTGTTCTGAAGCTTCAGAGGATTCTGTATGTATAATGGTTGAAGCATGTTCAGAAGGATCAAATATTGAGTCACTAGAATCTAAGTATTTGGAGCCATCAAAACTTATTCTTTCAGAACCTTGTCTTTAGGGTCTTAAGCACTTGGTCTTTGAGTCATCATAACCTAATTTATTAAAGTCTTCAGAACTTGTTCAATAGAACCTTGTCTTCAGAGTTTTCAGCACTTGATCGTTGAATCTTTATAACCTTTTCTTTAGAGTCTTTGAAATTCCGTTCAATAAGGCTTTTGTCTTTACAGTCTTCAGAGGTTGGTCTTCAGAACCTTTGATCTTCATAATCTTCAGAGCTTGTTCAACCGATCATTTCCTTTAGAATCTTCAGAGATGGGCAAGAAACTTAGAATCTCCAGAGCTTGAGAATATATTAGAAGCTCTATATTAGTTGGTAAAAAAAAGAGAAGTATTCCAGATGCTAGTGGTATCAAGTACAAGCCTGCTGCAGTTGCCATAACACTCCAAAACTGCTACAAAGCAGTCCTGCCACGCTGCTCCCACACTTGCACCAAATTGGCATATAAAAACTGCACCTCAAAGAATACAAGAACACATACCAATTTGTTCAAATTTCTTTTGTTTTCCCTCCCAAACCTCTGACAAACTCATCTATAAATAAGAGCTTCCATCACACATTTTAGGGGCCTTTTGTAGCTGAAAAAACTCTTGTGGTGAGAAAATTATCAAATTATCAAAACTCTCAAACACTCTCAAACATTCTTAAACATTCAAACTCTAAAACTCTCAGATCCCTTCATGCATTAGTGAATCCTTCGATTCACTCCCCAACTGCCAGATAACTAAACTTTGATTCATTCCCTAACTACAACATAATAGTCTATTGATTCACTCCCTAGACTGTTATATAATAACCTTCGACTCACTCACCACAATCACACACCCTCCTTCAATTCAGTGACTTCCCAAACAAAGCAGCAACTTAACTAGCTTCAGGAAAGTTCTAGCGAAGCTCCATCCACCACAAAGGAAGTCACCTACAGCTCCTTCGATTATCACTTCAAGAGGTAAGTTTCCTCTAAACTTGGAGCTTTTCATTTAAATATCATTTGTACATATAAATAAAAGGAAAATGTAGATATTCCATCTAGGAAGTTGATCATGCCCTAACTTTCGATCCTCACTGCCTGTATGTTAAAAATCTCAACCCTGACTAGTTAGACTTTGGATTTTGGTGCCCAATAATCTTGTGCTAACCACTGGCTTGTAGCTTTCGAAAGTTACACTTGTTAGTTTCATTTTTGAGTTTTAGACAGGTTTTCTGTATCCTTCGATTGGCTAAACATTGAAGCCTTTCGAATCTCAGCTTGAGAGCTTTGCATTCATGCAATCGAAAGAGGCAGTAAGGAGGTTGAAATGAAGAGTGTACACTCATGCTGACTTCCGGGCCAATAGAAAGAAGCAGAAAAAGGACGTAACCTAAGAGCATGATAATACTGATTCCCAACCCCAATTGAAAGAAGCAAAAGAAGGGTGAATCGAAGGAGCCTACTACCTGGATCGGAGAACTCACTTTTTCTCTCTCTTTTTATGTTATTTATGCTTGTCTTTATATTTTCTTGCTATTCAATATGGATGTAATAGTGTAGGATATTTATTTTCTGCACTTTTATTGTTTTATACAAATGTTAATAATTAGGATGTATGGCAAGATAAAACCAACAAGTAGACAACCCTAACCAAAGACTAAATACATGCAATCAAACACACTTTGCACACATGCACCTCTAGAGTAATCTCACTTGTTGCCTCGGAAAATAGTCATGTCCCTCGAATATGGGAATTTTAACAAACACCATCGATAAAAGATCATAGTCCCTCGATTTCCCTCGATGTTGCCTTCAGTAAACGATCTAGTCCCTAACAAAATAGCTAAAATTTCACATAGGTTTCCTTCTATGACTATACAAACGACCCACACCTGCCCCTTCACATCAAACGATGGGGCTTCTTATCAATCAATGGTAAGATAGAAACATCTAAAAGAGGAGGAAAAGAACATTAGACCTTTTTGAGTAGGTAGGATGCTCATAGTTGCTCGCTTGCTCACAACAAAAACCATTTTCACACCAACACTTTCAATTGAAACATTTTTTAAAGTTAAAACACTTTGTACGCATTCTTATAGAGACGAGAATTATTAAAAATATACTTTTCAAAATCACTTTCAAAAATACCTTCCACAAACACCTCTTTGAACTATTTTCAAAACTGACACTTTGTACGCATTCTTATAGATATGAGAATCATTACAAAGACGTTTACAAAATATTTTCAAACCCACACCATAAGCACATTTTTCAAACAAAAAACAAGTGATCTAACAAGCAACTAAGAGCCCTTAGATAAATATGGATGGAAAGGGTGCTAATACCTTCCTTTTTCATAATCTACCCCCCGAACTCAAGAAATAATCTTAAAGGTCTTTCCTGTTCTTTTCACCCTTTCCTTATTAGATAAAAGAAAAGTCAGTGACGACTCTTGCTATCCGCAACAATTGTGATCAAACACAAAACACCCAAGTCAGTTCTCCCACCGTATTACAGTAGTGTAACCTTGTATTCAAACATTCAGCAAAATTGTTATAAGAGTTCTCAATTTCAATTTTGGAATTGAGATGGAGACATACCCACACGCGAGAAAAAGCAGTGGGGAACTTCCTTACTAAACTGCCTGCGTATTATTCTTTCTTTCTCTCTATCTCTTTACATTTTCTTCAATTTTGTGATTCAATTGGCTTGCTAAGTTTTCTGTTTAATGATAAAATAATGGTTCAAATACTTTAATCAAATCACCATTATTAATCACCAAACAAGCATACGCCAACTGTTTGACAAAATTGCTTATAACTTTTAATTCATTGGAAATATTGTTCTAGTGATAAGTTCATTAAAAACATTAAGTAATTTGTGTTTAAGATTCATCTGTTTCATACTAATAAAATCCAGCAAGTTTATCGTATGTCCGGTTTTCTAGTAGTTTGTTCAAAATAGACGGAAGTTGATTCTGGACCTTACTTTTCTGCAACTTTTAACAAACTTTGATAAAAGATTTTAAATCCTTGAAGAATAAGGAGGTGATCTATTCAACCCCCCCCCCCCTATCAATCACTTGCCACACCGTCTAACATGTTTAGCCCTTCGAATTCGTAAGGTTCACGCGGCAGGAGCTCCTATGGGAACTCGATTGCGACGTGAAATTCGCCCCATAAATTTGTCACATGTTATTCACGTCTTAACAGTTTACCACGTGATTTTCATGACACAACATGTTGCACTGATTGCCTCATTTGTCTGCTATAGTTCAGTAAAAGTAGATAGTGGCGGATTAGCAAAAAGTGTTTGCGACGTAATTTTCACGCCACAAAATGAAAATTTACCACGTATTTTTCATGTCACAAAATTGAAAAGTTTTCACATATTTGTCAGGTGCTTTTCATTTGGTAGAATTTTTTTTAATAAAAAAAATAAAAATAAATACTAATTAATAAAAATACAAAAATTATAAAAGAATACATCACTTTTATAAAAACTAAAACTTTTAACAATAAAAATAATTACTAATTAATAATAAAAATAACTTTTAAAAATACAACGAATACATCACTTTTATAAAAGCTATAACAAATACCCATAACCTGATTTAAACTGCCTATAAATACACAAATTTACATTTGAGTAACCAACCAAAATAAATCTTCATACAATTATTGCATTATACAATGGCAAATAAGATGCATAAATCATTTTTGTTCTTTGTCATTTATGCTTTAGTTGTTACAGGTATAATAACCCTTCCAACTATTATCATTATGGTTGTTAAATTATAAACGATAAATCTCATCTCACGTGTTTTCTGTTTATTATTTTAGTTTGTACGAGAATAGTACAATTGATACAGGTAGAAGGAGGCTATACACCATGCACAATAATTATGGGAAGTTGTTCTACTGATAATTGTAACCAGATGTGTATGAATTATCGAGCAAGCTCTACACTTTTAGGATCAAATTGTAACTTCTACAACTTATGCACATGTGAATTCGATAGGCCACCAGTAGGAAGATCATGCACAGTTCCTAATGGACTCTGCTCAGATCAATGCGGTGAATCTCGTTGTAATGCAAATTGTAAGGATAGATATAGAAACACAGGTACTGGGGTATGTGTGCATGACTATGATCTCTACTTTTATAAGTGTGTTTATCAACAATGAGTATATTCTCTATTGAAATAAATAACATCAAATTAAATAATTTTTATTTTGAATTACTTATATGATTTTATTCCATATTTATTCAGATTTACCTACTTTTTGTATTCAATATAAAACATCGCTCAAACATACATATAAAAACTCTCACCACTTAAAGAATGCTAAAAATAACCGACTATAATTTACTTTACTACTCAATTTTAAATAAAAGAAAGTGTATTATCTTTTTCTTTTCATATACTAAAACTTTTAGTTTAATGAAAAAATAATATATTAATAAAAAGGTAAAAACCAACAAAATACAAATACTCTCAAATCAAAAAAAGTGTTTATAAGACTACCGGGGATAAAAAAAATCAAACAAGAAAAAAGGTAAAAAACAAAGGCTGTTAATTCAATTCTTTCAGAACCAGTTTGGTAGGAAGCAGGAAGAGTTGAAGGCCCTCAGAGGAAAAGAGATGTTTGGGAAGAATGTGAATGATATGTGTTTGGTTCCAAAAGTGAAAATACTTGCGAAGTTCAAAGTACCAGAGTTCAAAAAGTACAAGAGCAACACTTTCCCTCGTTCTCACTTAGTGATGTATGTGAGAAGAATGTCTACTCATACAGATGACCAACGCCTGTTAATTCATTTCTTTCAAGACAGTTTGACCGGTGTAACATTAAATTGGTACATGAGCCTGGACAGTGCGAACATTCATAATTTCAATGACTTGGATAAAGCGTTTATCAGAAAGTACAAATATAATGTCGACATGGCACCTGACCGTGATCAACTCAGGGCCATGGTCCAGAAGGACAAGGAGTCATTTAAAGAATATGCACAGAGATGGGGTGAAGTAGCTGCCCAGGTGATTCCTCCAATGGAAGAAAAAGAGATGACAAAGATTTTTCTGAAGACAATAGGTGCATTCTATTATGAAAGGATGGCGGCGAGTGCACCAAGTGATTTTACCGAAATGGTGGGAATGAGCGTTCGTTCGGAAGAAGGTGTAAGAGAAGGTCGTCTGACAAGAAGTAAAAATTCCGGCAGTTTGAAGAAACAATCATACGGGTTTGCTAAAAAGAAAGACAGAGATACAAATTTTTTTATTCAAGAAAGAAGGGTTAATCTTCCAAGAAGAAATCATCAGCGTCATCAACAGGTTGCCTCAGTAACTGCAGTTGTTAATACAGCTCCGACTATAGTCGCTTATCAAAGACCAGCCCCTCAAGGAAATCAAGGGCATAATCAAAGGAGAGATCCTTTTGACTCTACCCCATGAGTTATACATAGTTACTCCAATCATTGATCTAGAAAAAGTTGGTCAGGACTAGGCCACCCCCGACTATACCATCACCATTTCCTTGGTACTACAAGGTAGATCAAACATGCACTTTCCATCAGGGTGCACCAAGGCATAATGTGGAAAACTGTTATCCCCTGAAGTATGAGGTACAAAAAATGGTGAGATCTGGATTTTTGTCCTTCAAAGACGGCAGTCCTAATGTCAAAGATAATCCTCTGCCAAAGCATGGAGGAACAAATGCTGTTAACATGGCTGCTGGTTGTCCAAGGGAATTCCATATTTATGATATTAGCTTGGCCAGAGGAGATTTGGTAAAGATGCATGCAGACCTTTGCGAGTTTAGTTACTATACTTATGAACATGATGGTTGTGATATCTGTAGTACTGATATACAAGGTTGCGATAAGATAAAGGCTGATTTGCAAGAGATGATGGATGTGGGCCTCATCCATATAACCAGACCTAGGGAAGAATTTGAGGAGGAAGTGAATATGGTCTTTGGATGTCCTGGAGAGTTCTGGATCTTTGATGTGGACCATATGAATGATGATATCATGCAATTGCATGATACCTTTTGCCACATGGCTGGTCAGGTAGAGCACCACTACGAATCTTGTCAGGTTTGCTGCAGGGATTCCCGAGGATGTTCTATTGAAAGAAGAGGTATTCAGTTGTTATTCGATAATGGAACTATCAAAGTTTCAAGCTAAAGAGATGATTACCATGAGGTTAACATGGTTGGGGTTTACTTGGCTGAGGATGAATCAGATGATGAATATGCTTTAGCGGATGACTTCTTTTCCTCAGATGAGGATATGTTCTCCAGCAATGATTCTTTGATACCCTAATTTTCTGAAGAAGGTGTGAACATAATTGTGCCTTGTTTTAATGATTCTTCCCCTATTGAGATTGGATATTTTAGCAAGTCATTTGTTGCCCCAGTGGTGATTTTCTTGCCAGGGTTTGTTCCATACAAATTAGACAAAGTTGTATCTTACAAGTACAATTCTACTATTTTAGAGGATGGTGTGGAAGTTCCCATCCATCCGTTGTCTAGCATCGGGAATATTGTTGAGACTGGTAGGGTGAATCACAGTGGTCGTGTATTTGCACCGGTTGTTCGGGGAAATTATAATGCTGGTAAGAAAGTGAAGAATTGAAAAACACCAGAAGGGGGTTGAATTGGAATCTTAAAAATAAATGGAAATAACACGATGATTTTTATCCTGGTTCGTTTTAACTCAAACTACTCCAATCCACCGGCCAAGGTGATTTCTCCTCTCTCCAACGAGGTCTTAATCCACTAATCAATCTTGATTACAAATCTACTTTGACTAATGCCAAAGTCTTCTTGAGTATAACCACAACCCGGTTTTTCTCAAGGAATTTCACTAAATAAAATATGAATAAAACAGTGTACAGTATGTTTTCTTACAAAAACAATATCACAATATTGTGATGTATTACACAGTTGAAAGAATAGTATGAATGAGGAGTAGAAAGGATAGCAGCACTGATATGTATTGTAAATCATTATGTAAATCATAAACAATTTATCCTCATGCCTTTTTTTAATAGGCACAACATAGTTAAGAATTCGGAAACTTGATAAATGACAGTTAATGCGCTTTCCTCAAATAAAAGATCCTTGTCCGTTTGTAGCCGTTACATTTGATATAGCTTTGATGAATTGTAACGCATCGGAACATTGAATTATCCATTGCTGCTTGCTTCAGAACTTTGGAAGGTCAGAGCCATAAGATCTTATTTTTAGCGTTAGACTTACTTTCACAGAGTTATGTAATCAGAGCTAAAACATCTTTATCTTAGTGCAACTTCTAATCTTATTTCATCAGAACTTTATGAGAATAGTATATGTTCACAGCAGGAACAACCTTGTAGCTTATCTTCTGATCTACTTCCATCAGAACTTCTCTACAAAATAGAGTATAATTTTAGAGTGCATAATTGTTCTATGTGTTTGTTATCATCAAAACTCTTACGAGGGTTGTAGAATCAAACTATGTTCTAACAATCTCCCCCTTTTTTTATGACAAAAACTAGGATATTTCAATTAAAATAGACAAAACATAAAGCATTAGAGAGTCTCCCACTGGGTTGAGTACTCTGATAGAGATGAATTACTTCCCTGAAGTTCATTCTGATAAGAGCTTTTGATGCATCTCTTTCTGTCTTCATCAATGTTTTGTTCCTGTTTTTCTTTTAGAAAAGAAAACGAGAAGTTATGATATTCAAAATGTTTGAGACTTTGTCTCGATATACTGTTATTAGAAATATCTTACGTTCTCCCCCTTTTTGTCAAGAATCAAAAAGCAATATAAACACTAATATTCAGAGTCAAAAAGAAAACTTGATTGCAATAACACTTCCAGATCCAAATAAAACAAGAAAAGTGAATGCAGAAAACAAGTTTTTCCAAAACATTAAGATTGAGGAGGGGGAAGTCGTGTGAACAACGCTTCCAACAAGCTCTTAATCTGAGTGCTCGATTCCTCTTTTTCCCCAGCATTTCTTTGATTTATTTTCTCGTGTCTTCTTTCTTGTCCAATCTTTCTTTGATCACTGCATTCTCTTTCTATAACTCTTCCAGAGTTTGCATAACCAAAGATGAAGATGTTGTATCCACAGAAGATACAAGTTTATCAGAACACTCAGTAGAAGGTTCTGATTCAGTGGCTTCTTCAGTTTCTTTACCTTTGTCTTGTATAATAGCTAGAGAAATATTATCAGAGAATGGTTTATCAACTTCTGAAGGTTGGTGCTCTTTCCAGGGAGCATTGTCCAGCAGAAGAATATATTTCCTTTCCCAGTGAATCAAAACTTGATCCTTAAAAACATTCAGCCGATCACAAAATCTCTGTTGGGCCATTTCATAGCATAATTGATTGAGTTTCTAGGATTCTAAGTTGAACCATCTTCTGAACCGGTTCCAGTGAGAATCAGAAGCAGCAGGATTTGGATTTTCTAAGCTTGCTTGCTTCAAAGAGTTAACCCATTCAATTATCTCTATTTCAAAAATCAGTAAATTTCTACCAACATCTGCCTTGGTGATAGTTGGTTTTGGTTTGTGAATGGCAATTTTGTGAGAGGTTAAGGCAAGGTGATCCAGCGCTTCTAAGTCTATTACTGTTCTTAGGTAGTCTTCTGGAGGATTAATAGGAAAGGGAGTAAGAGAATCAGAAATGATAATTGGTGATGGAGGTGTGATTGGTGGAGTGGAATGGTAAGGTGATGGAATTTCTAGAATGTCTTGGATGGAGAGAGGTTGTCAAATCATGAGAGGTTCTGTTATTTCAGGAATTGGTGTGGTGGTATCAGAGTCAATTAATGGATTTTCTGGTTGGGAAGCGGTAACATTTGGATTATTAGGGTGAGTGGTTTGGAAGTTTGGATTTTCTATGTGAGGAGCTTGAAAATCTGGATCAAATTGATTAATATCAGAAAGAACTCTAGCAAGTTCTGGTTGGTTTTGTTCAAGATGTGGGTTAGGAGAGTGTGGGCCGTTTAGTATGTTTTCTACAGTCACTGAGGGGTCAAATTCTAAATGAAAATATTCAAATGTTTGCGGTGAGGGATCTTCTATTTGTTTTGGAGAGGAGGGTGTTTCAGATGTTGGAAAGACCACTAATTCTATAACATAAATAAAAGAAGAGTTATGTTTCTTCTTAGCAGCTTTTGGTGTCTTCTGAG